TATTGGTGACTTGCATGCAGACCAAAAGTGCACATGGGCATGCCACCTGGTTTTTTGATGTGTGGGCTAAGAATGATTTTTCACACATACTCAATGGTTTGAAAGTAAAATTTAAAGATATTGCTTAGCGACATTAAAAAGTTATATGGAATTCATATTTTAGTGTCCACACTAGAATTTTATTGGAGGCCAGGCACACCCTTGTTTACAGATATCTGTGACTATTTTCATGGCAAAATGACAGCGTTAAGTACTTGCAATAGAAGCCTAATGGCCTACAAAGCCTACAGTGTTTACTGTTTGGCCCTTTACAGGAAAAGTCTGCCAATCTCTGGACTGGGGAATCAGGGACAGGGAAAAGAAACTGCTGTAGTCATTCAGGCTGAGGTAAAGGGAAGGCTGAACATGGCCCTGAGGTTGCAGAGGGTGGGGAACGGATTCCAGTCCAACTAAGCAAGCAGGTTTCCTGACCTCCATCCACCAAGCTGCCTGGCTCCTCCACCCAGCCACGCTTCTCCACATGAACAGCTCCTTTTTACCAGGGAATAAAGTCTCCTTTAGACTTCTCTTTGCCTACTTGCTGCTCCTCCCCCACTGCTCATCTCCTCTTAAGTCTCATCTGTGAAATGAGGATAATGGTAAGAAGCGATGGATATGATGTGCTTGTGGCCACTCATTATCAATGAAGTGCCAGAACAGGTTAGAAGGGCTGGCTGCTAGCAGCTACTGCCTTTAAGGGGTCAAGTGGGCCAGTGTACTTGCTTCCTGTTTTTGTCTGTGTTTGAGAGACGAGGCTCTGAACGGTGGAGTTGCAAATACATGTATTAGCGTTTTCTAGTTGGAAATCTCAGCCTTTATGCTATCATCAATAGTTAAAGGATGGGTTTAATCAAAGGTCTTGTAATTACTGTTCCACAGAGATGCTAGCATAAGATGTTTTTGTCTTTGGGCTTTACCAAGATTTTCAGATACAAACTGCCTGTCAAGGGCAAAATGTTTGTCCTTACAAATTAGTTCAATGAGGTTTCAAAATGTCCTAGGCTTTGTAACTTACTGCCTATCTTAGAAACTAGCCAATCCCCGCCTTCACCCTCTTCTGGGATTCAAGTTTGAACTCAGGGCCTCTAGCTTGCTGGCTTGGCTGACACTATACTACTTGAACTGTGTCTGCTTTTTGCTGGTTATTTTGAAGATGGAGTCTCATAGACTTTTCTGCCTGAACTTTCTTTGAACCACATTTTTCCAGATCTGAGCTTCTTAAGTAGCTAAGATTATGGGTGTGAGCCACTAGTGCCTGGCCACCTTCATATTCTTTTTTATTTTTATTTATTTTTGTATGTTTTTATTGTAAAAATAATGTATAGAGGGGTTACAGTTACATGAGCAAGGTAATAAGGTAATGAGTCCAGTTCCTATGGAGCATTGTTGCCTTCTCCTTTGTTTTTCCCCTACCATCCCTTCCCTCCCCACCTCCACAATTCCCCTCCCCCCAAGTTGTAAAGTTCGTTTTCCACAGTGTCTTGTACATCTCATTGTTACAATGTACATAGTATCTTGTACATCTCATTGTTACCTGTATCCCTATTTAAGCATTTTGTTTTTTCTTCATATTCTTTTGCTGATAGACATGTTGACATTTTCTTTTTAAGACTGAGAAAATGTTTTGGAATGGTTTTGACATTATTTCCTTGGTCTCCATATACAATGGGGTTTTAACATAACTTGAGTTTATGTGAAACAACTTGCAAAATACAACAACAAAGCTGTTAACTCTCTTCATTCATTTTCCAGAGAGTCTGATTGTACTCCTGTGTGCTCTCAGGAGGTAAGAGTTAGAGCCCACGGCTCTCTTGTGGGAAGATGGAGATACACAGCTCATTTTGCTTCATGCCAGTTGTTTCTTATATCCTGTATGCCCCTCCTACCTCTTGCCCGTGTTTGTACTTTCTCTCGCCTCATACGCTGCTTTCCATAGTCTATCAACACTCTACTCAGCCATCAAGGATTACTACCAGGATGCCCTGTAGGTGCTTCCGGCATGTTTACTGGACACTTATTGATAGGGAATATTATAGCACCTTTGTTGTAATAATTTGATATACTCTCTTAATGAGATTATAAATTCCCAATGTCCCATTTCTGATGCTTACTATCATAGTGGTAGGTACATACCTATACCAAACAATACATCCGTATATTGATACAGATTTGCAAAAGGAATCAGAAGAACTGCCATATGTCTTGTAAACCCTTGTATAAGTATACCATAAGTCAACATAATGGGATGTGGGATGTCTCAGCCCATATCAGAGGCAGTTAATGCATCATACAAACTCCATGGTGGTAACTATTCTTAACCTTGCTCTCCTTTTCCATGCCAGAGATTTCCAGTTGCTAACTCCTAGACCACATCCTTCTTCAGCAAGCAGAGCACTTGACTTCAGAAGTATTTGCAAACCCTAGATGCTTATGAGAACTTTAACCTGTAATATTAATTGCTTATGAGAACTTTAATCTATAACATTAATTACTAAACCAAGAAATTAGTGACAAATTTTAGACCTGAGTTTAGGAAGATGCCATATATTGGTGGATTGAGTCCTACTTTAAAACTTAGGGATAGAAACAATAGACAAAAACTCTCCAAAAGTAACCACTGTTTATTGAATGTTGACACACTACTTCCAGGCTGTCTTCTGTGGAATGTATGTTCTTTAAAATCCCAAAATCTTGAGACTAAAACTTAAGACTCCTAACCCCTTGACTTTCATCTCCATGCCCCATATCTTTTAACAGCCCCTTTCAAAATGAGATTTTGAAGTTCAATATTCACTTAGTAAATGTGTATCTATATACCATGTGGTATCATATGCCAGGGACACAGCAGTGAGCAACAAAGCAAAGACCCCTGCCATCATGAAATAATCGAATAGGATAATTTCAGCTGCTGTGGGGACCATCACACAGGTACTGTTGCCAATCTGGTTGAGGATAGCCTTTCTGAGAAAGGGTGCAGGCCTTCATGATGAGGAAGGTTCAGCCCTGCACATGTAGGGGCTCAAACATGCCAGTCACAGACACTGTTGATATAAAGACTCCAAGACAGGGGTCAGTCAATGTGAAATACAGTAACTCATACAAAGAGAGCTGAATGGAAAGACAAACGGGCCAGATTGTGGAGGCTTTGGAGGCCCCTGGGCTGTTTCTTGTCTTTTAGGAAGTGTGTGCTCTGGAGTTTGCCCTGTTTGTGAGGACACACACCGTGGTCTGTCAGCAGTTGTCTGCCTCGTGATCTTCATGACATCTCTAGGGATCACATCGTGCACCCTGGGATGCCTTTTTTGTATTTTTGTAATTGCAATCACAAGAGGATTTTATGAAAGAAGATTGATAGTTAATGTTTCAGTACTCAGGGAAGATGAAAGCAGAGCTGCTGGAGTCAAAGCTGGATAGAGAACCCACCTAGCACTTACTGAAAATGTCCTCCTTGTTCCTGTTGCCTAGCAGCATCAGGCAAGTGCTGGGGGATGGCTATGGCCCTTTGTGCCTTGGACATGACAGAGCCCAGGACTCCTTAGCCCCTGTTCTCACCACAGACAGCAGCCTTGCTACATCTCCCCTAGTCCCCTCCATCGGCTTTAAGTTCTGCGTGGGAGATGGCACGGCTCTGATCTGTAGTAGTCCTGAAATCCATTCAAGCATAGATGTGAGCCTCTGCTTTTTCTTTGTCAGCATGGTGACAGTAACTAGGGGTCTTGTTCCATAGCTTATTTAACTGTTTCCCTGTTGGTGAACTTTTTGAAAGTGTTTGATCCTTCTAACTCTTAGTCTTGAGTTTACGTAACAGGATCAACATTGTCCAGGTGCCTTCTCTTTTCTTGGTGCACACTGGAGCACAAAGTACTTTGGTGCATAGCCCCTTCCTCTCACATTGAATTATCACAATCTAACAGAAGACAGGCACAAATAACTTAGAATGGGATGTGCTGGGATTGATACATGTACCTTAGCATACATAGCATTATTAATTCCACTTGGGAAAAGTGAAGACTAAATGAGAATTGAATTTTTAAATAATGAGGTCTCCTAGGGGGTAAGGAAGAAATAGCTCTGTGTGTGTGTGTGTGTGTGTGTGTGTGTGTGTGTATGTGTGTGTGTGTGTGTGTGATTTTTATTAGTTTGTTTTAGTGCCGGTCCTGGGGTTCAAACTCAGAGTCTGGGTACTATCCCTGACCTTTCATGTCCAAGGTTAGTACTCTACCATTTGAACAACAGCTCTACTTCTGGCTTTTTTGGTGTTTAATTGAAGATAAGGGTCTTAAGGACTTTCCTACGCAGGCTACCTTTTTGAACCATAATCCTTAGATCTTAGCTTCCTGAATAGCCAACAGCACCTGCCTTGAAATGGCTATTCTTTTTTTGTTTTTTTTTTTGGTTGATCATGGGGCTTGAACTCTGGGCTTGGGTGCTGTCCCTTAGCTCTTCAGCTCAAGGCAAGTGCTTTACCACTTGAGCCACGGTGCCACTTCATTTTATGGTCGTTAACTGGAGATAAGAGTTCACGGACTTTCCTGCTTGGATGGCTTTGAACTGTGATCCCTAGATCTCAGCCTCCTGAGTAGCTAGGATTACAGGCATGAGCCACCAGTGGCTGGCTTGAAATGGTTATTCTTGCAAGATAGTACAAAGGAAAAACTAGGTTGTCAGGAAAAAGAACGGGATATACAAAGAATGACCAGTAGTTCAATGTAATCAGAGCATATATTGTAGAATGAAATGACTAGGGTTGTACTGTTTGCTTAGCAGTTGGTCATAGACACATTTAAGAAGTGAAATGAAGAACATGGGCTCCCTTTCCAGGTGGACTCCCAGCCTTTTGGCTGCCTTTGTCTGCATGGTCTACAATCAGCATAGGTGGCTCTTCCTTGAATTAATCTGACTTTTCAGTATGTTGTTTTTGTCTATTGCACACTTAACTGTGTACTGTCTTCTCTTCACAGACTTTAGTCAAATCAAGAAGTAGAAGAGAATTCAGCCATGGCCCCAAGGAAGAGAGGTGGTCGGGGGATTTCATTCATCTTTTGCTGTTTCCGAAATAACGACCACCCAGAAATCACATATCGATTGCGAAATGATAGCAACTTTGCTCTTCAAACCATGGAGCCAGCATTACCCATGCCCCCTGTGGAGGAGCTGGATGTCATGTTCAGTGAACTTGTGGTGAGTCCCAGATTTCTGTGTTGCCATTTGTGGGGTGTCAGGAAGAGAGAGAAGAGGAGTGATGTTTGTGGGTTGGTTTTACTTGCTATGAATTTTTCCTCTTCTGGTGAAAAGGTTCTCACTCACCCTTTATGTCTGCACCCTCACTATCAGCACTGACTCTGTGGAGAAGGAGCAGGTAGAAGAGGGTAGCATTAACATATCCTAATACTTGGCTGGTGCTTTAGGTGGATGGGAAGACTTAGACCTTCAGGTCTTCAAATATGCTACAGTATTTTATCCTAAATTGCCCTTTCTAATATTTCCTCCGTTCTACTCTGATTCTGTACTTTTATATAAAAATAAATAATTCCTTCATTGACTTCATACCTTCCCTAGCATACAGTATTGACGTGTTTTTAAAAAGTAGTCATACTTCACAACTGGTCCTTGATCTTTTGGTGAAAGACATTATTACTTAAGTACAGTACCATTAGCTAGCCTAATGATAGGATTGAAATAATAACTATTTTGTGGGAAAGTTTTTATAGATATCATCATGTTTTTGAGGGCACTGTCCTCAAATGAGATGATGTATTTAATGCAATACTCATTCATTAAGAGGTGCAGGTGGATTCTTCAAGCTCACTTCTCAGGTATTGCCCACACTGGTGTTTCTTCCCATTCTGTTTCAGAGGACACGGTGGCATTGCTTAAAAGCTGCTACCATAATGATTAGAGATGGCTTAGTTCAAATTACTTTTCTAACTTTATCTGCATAAGTGCAGACAAATGTTACTTTTTCCTGTGCCCATTTTCTGGTGTGATATAATATTTAAATAAGAGCAATCTTCAGTAGAAGTGGCTCAGTGCACAATAAATGTTGCATGATTCCTATGTCCTCCTTTGATCATTGCTGACATTTGTAGTTAGTTCTAATCAAACCATTTAGATTTCTCAACATGTATTAGGGAGTGCTATCATTTCTTGAGTCAAGAGAGTAGGCTGTGTTACTATTCTCCAGGTATAATATCAAAACTGACCAGGTCATGTCAACTCTTCCAGACCAGAATTCATTTTTAAAACAAAAAGAAGAACCAATATAAGAGAATCTGTAAAGCTGAGATGTTCTGGCTCATTAGGTAAAGTCATGGACCTATTTTTAATCAGAATTGGTTGGGAAAAAGAAGAGGTGACTTAAGACCACATGTCATATTCCATGATGTTGAATATTTTCAGAGTTTAAAGACTTTGTTCTTTCTCTTTTCTCCATATAGAATTCTATTCTAGGTATTAGGGAATTCCAAATAGAAATCTAGAACCTACTCCCACAGATTTGACAGTTTTATAATAAGAAGGAAATGAATCATTAGGAAGATCTGAGGCTTCCACAGGAATGAATGAAAAATAATACATCTCACAGATTATGTATATATGTATTTGTCTTTTGGGGTGTACAGTGAAGTGCTGAGGAATGTGGTCAGGGAAGACTTTCTGAAGGAAGTGAGCTGTCATCAGAGGGTGAGACCAGAGTGGATCGTGTCAATGGCCATGTCAGTCATCTCTAGATAGTAAAACCTCAATCATTCCAACAGCAAAGGCTCATTTCATGCTAGTTCTTCTCAACTACTGTGGGTCAGCAGTGATGTTCTTTGCCATCTTTTGTCTAAGAGGAAAGACTCCAGGCTTATGCTTGTAAATAGCATGTCACTTGTGATCACATTTCATTGCCATTGTTGACCACATGACCATACTTGAAATCACACAAGGTAAAAGAGGTACCATCCTTCTATAGGGATTGCCACCCTAAGTGACATGGCCAAGCCTGAGGTCACTGCGTTGGGTGGAGGACACATGGTCCTCTCCCAGGGAGGGGCAGTGAGTCATCTGCTGTCATGACTGTCGAGGATAGTAATGGGGCTGGGAAGGTGGCTGCATGCACGAGGCTCTAGGTTCGATTCTTTAGTATCACATACACAGAAAAAACCAGAGGAGGGTGCTGTGGCTCAAGTGGTAGAGCACTAGCCTTGAGGTGAAGAGCTCAGGGACAGCGCCCAGGCTGAGAGTTCAAGCTCCACGACCGGAAAAAAAAAAAAAAAAGAAGGATAGTAATGATACATTTACAAGCTTGGTTTTATTTTCCACTTGAAGCACTTTAAAACAAAGTCAGCCTAAGGATATAGGTGTTGCCTCTTGCTGAATACATTGCTGGTCATGGAACCAAGGGTCAGAGCTAGTAGTATCCTATACATCTCATATCCACCACAGTCCTTTCAGTCATATCTGTCAGTCTCCTGAAATGGGATCTAGCAAGAGCCTGTGTAGTGGCAGCCCCATATGCATTCTGAAGACAGCTCATTGTTCTACATTCAGAAGGGAGAAAATTCCACTCTTTCTTTGCCTTATTGATGTCTCTATTCTGTGTGAAAATTGCCTACAGCTGTTAGTTGTTAAAAAACCAATGCCAAACCAGAACTTTAAGCCAAAACCATTGGAAAACAAATTATCTTGAGGTTTGTATCTGTCCTGGTGAGTGACGATGGATTTTTGTCTACTTCTGACTTCAGGGACTTAGACCACAAATCCTTCTAGTTGCTGGAGGAGGCCTGGGCTAAGAGAGGTGGGCTCAAAGCCATTAAGAGATTCTTCTGCTCTAGGTTCTCCTGAGCAGTCTCAAAAGCAACTGTGCTTGTGCCCTCCTGCAAAAGAGGAGATAGTGGCACAGACTTCTTGGACTCTAGAGTCAGACAGTGCTAGCTCAGCCAGAAATTTTCCTCAAAACAGAGTCTTTTCGAATTTGAATTTGTGCCTTTCCCTGTAAAATAGGAATCATGCCATCTTTCTAATAGAAAATAACTTCTTTAAAAAGGCTGGTACCTAACAAATGGACTACTTCCCACAGCCAAGTGCGGCAGGAGAGATATAGGGTATAATCTGGGTCTTTTCAGAGGCACAGCACCCATTAACAAATATCTCAGGCTTTTCTTCACTGAGAAGCTAACCTGCTCATGGTGAGTGAGCCCGTGTAGATCCTGACTTGCAGGCCACTTTCCTCCTGCATCTGTTGGGAAGCACTCTATCAGAGCTGGTTGTTATAAGCTAGTTTTCCTTTTCATCAACTCACTCATATGCCATTAAAAAAAAAGTGATACCAAATGTGTTTCTTTTAGAATTGCTTACTGCAGCCTAATCATTTCATAAATAATGTAAGCCTGGAGAGGAGGTCAGCCATGTGAATCTTTAAAGAACATGACTGGTGAGGGGAACCTTGGCCATCTAGTCAGCTCTTCTTTACATGTAGGAGAAATAGAGATATCTCAATCTGAGGACCCTAGTGGTGTTTGGAGAGCCTTGACCTATACTCTGACTAATTTTTACACTGACAGCTTTATTGAGACATGATTCACATGCCATATAATTCATCTACATAACGTGTGCAACTCATTAGTTACTAGTGTATCACAGAATTGTGAAACACTCACCAAAATCAGTTCATGGACATCTCATTATACTAAAATACAACTTTCATATCAGTGACTCCCTCACTCTCTATACATTCTCAGCCCTACCATCCTCTAGAAACTATTCATCTATTTTCTGACTCTGAAAATCTGCCTACACTGAATGGTTTATATAAATGGAATCAACACAATATATGATCGTTTGTCCTAGCGTTTTTTCCTTAACGTCATGTTTCAAATTCATCCACTATAGATGTATCAGTACTTCATTTCTTTTTCTTGTCCAGTAACAATCCATTGTGTGGTTATGCCACGTTTCAATCCATTGGTCACTGATGAAAATTTGGAATTTTACTAGATTTTGGCTATCATGCAGCTTTAAGTAACTATATTCAAGTTTTTGTATATAAATACATTTTCAATTTTGTTAATATATACCTAGAAGTAGAATTGCTAATCCTAAGACAATACTGTATTTAACTTTTGAGGAACTATCAAATGCTTGTTTTCTACCAGCCAAACAGGAGGATTCTAGTTTCTCAACATCTTTACTATCATTTGTTCCTACAGACTTCTCCCCAGCTAATCAACCAGATACTTTTTTTTTTTTGCCACTTCTGGGGGTTGAACTCAGGGCCTGGGCACTGTCCCTGAGCTGCTTTTGCTCAAGGCTAACACTTTACTTGAGCCACAGCACCACCTCTGGCCTTTTCTGTTTATGTGGTACTGAGGACCCAGGGCTTCTTGCATGCTATGCAAGCACTCTGTCACTAAGCCACATTCCCAGCCTTCAACCAGATACTTTTAAAAATATTCTACACGTCCTAAGAGTAACGCTTTACCACTTAAGCCACAGCTCCACTTCTAGCTTTTTATTTGTTTTATTTTGGTGGTTCATTGGAGATAGGAGTCTTATAGACATTCTTGCCTGGGCTGGTTTTGAGCCATGATCCTCAGCTCTCAGCTTTCTGAGTAGTAGAATAGCCATATATTTGATGTTCTTTAATCATCATTTCTTTTCTATTGTATTCTTCACCCCTGCCTCCTCCTCCTTACTCCGTCTTTCTCTTTGCCTCTGTCTTAGTCCAAATAAAGAGTATGACTAATCCAAAACTTATCATTGGCCCCTTAAAATAATATCCAGCTATATTCATCCCTTTTCTATAAGCATTTAAATGTCTTAGATTATCCCAACCAAGAGATTTACCCGTGATAATGCTAGAAATTGTCCTTGATAAGTAACTTTTCCATTTCCATATTAACAATAGCAGATTCCCTTTGGGATAAACAAATGAATATGTCATTTATTGATTCATTTTTCAGATTGAGTGTGTATTAGTGCCTGTCTCAACTCTTGAGCTGATAAGACTCAATCTTTGATGAAATTTGAGCTGTAGGTCTAACAGAAAAGACAGGCAGCCATATCAAATGTGACTTAGTGCCACTCAACCAGTACATTTTGTTAGGCAAATGCCTTTATAACCTTTTTCACAAGCGGTTTTACTAGAATATTATTTCTATCCTCTCCTTTAACTTGTGACATGTTACTAATTTACTGCA